CCCGCGAAGCCCACGAGCCCGACCCGTTAAGCACAGGACCATGTGGGCTTAGGCCCGTCACGGACCGGTTTCACCCATTGAGCCCACGAAGACCGGGACCGCCAGAGCCCATGACCACGAAGCCCGGGACCGCAAGGCCCGGCCCGTTAGGCCCACTAAGGCCCGGCCCCGGGCCAAAATACAGCATTACTTGAAGGTAATTTGCTGTTTGCGTAATCAGGTAAAAACTTCATATCAAATCCTATCATTAAAATGTAAGCTCAAAAGAAGGATATTATGATGAAGTTACAGAATCACAAGGTTCAAGTTTATATTTTTACCTGCCATTCTTATTGATAATTTAATAGCAACAAGTGAATTTCACGCCCAAATATTTTTTCAACTTCATCCAACTATGTATTGTCCAAATGATTAATTTCAGCTTAATCTACTTATATTATTAATTTAATAAAATATTGAAATAGTTTGGATTTGGATAATATTTGGTTATAAGACTGAACTTGGAATCCACATATATCAGGAATAAAATCAAGATTTAGAAACTGCTAAGTAAATGTAATAGGAATGATACTAGTACTAGTAGAAATGAATAAGAAGAACGCTAAAAAATAAGGAAACATGGAAATTCATATGGAAATGAAAAGAGAATATAAAATCAAATAAATGTATCGAAAGTGACGGATCATCCACTGTGATTAAAACAGTGTCGGGTTGGGTAAGCATCCGGTCCCCACACTAAAGCCCACCCGATTCAGTATCGTTATGCCTGATTTCGGAAAGGCGTTTGAACAATATTTAAGTAAAGTCGAAAATAATGATACTCCTATGAAATTAAAGTGCTTTCACTTTAGAAAAATTGTAAAAGTTGAAAGTCTGAATACTTTACTTGAAATTCGACTATCATTTTAATAGTTCATTAAGTTCAAATAATATTTCACTTGAAACTCAATATGGTATAACCAAACTAGTATAACTAATACTTATTTCAGTATTTGAGAATATTCCTATAGACAAAAAGGCACAATTATACCAAACTAAACTAAATTAGTTTTCAAAAAGGCATTAGTCAAAACTCACAAGTCAAGGTATGTCAAGATAATATGTCGTTGTGTTATATGATTGTTTCATATCAGTCGGGGGCGGATGCATGCTTACCGAAGCAGTGCCACCATATTGCTTCATCGAATTTTTTTATTAAATATATGCATTAATACTGTACGAAAACGGATAAATAGAAAAAAATGACACTACTTGACATAAACTTTGTTTAGGTGTGTTGGTTATGTGTTTGGTTTTGCTCTAAGAGGTCAAATGTTCAAACTTCAAGTAGCGCATTTTTCTTTCTCAAATATTAGAAAGAGCCTTTGTGGTTAAAAATTGTGATAAAGTAGAATAGAACTCAAAACCTTTAGGGGTCGTTTGGTAGGAGGTATTAGAAAACATAATGCAAGCATTAGCTCTATGCATTACTAATACCTTGTTTGATATATTTTTTCAACTTGTGTATAATTAATACTTGTATTAGTTATACATCATACTTGGTATTATCCTATGTATAAGTAATGCATAGAAAACCATGACATTAGTAATACCAGGGCTATTAATGCATGCATTAGTATGGTTAAAGACACAATTGTCCTTAAAGTCCCTTAAAGCTAGAGAATATGGAGGACATTTTTGTAAACAACTATTTTTTAAAAAAAAATTATGCAATGCATAATATTTTAATACACCACACCAAACAGTAGATAAGAAATAATATCTGCATAACTAATATTTGCATTACTAACACATGCATTACTAACACATGCATTACTAATCCATACATTACTAATACACCTTATACCGCATTATTCTTATACACCTTACCAAACGACCCCTTAGGCTATTTCTTGTCGTAAAAGTATGATAATCAAAGTTATATTCATGTTCTTCTATAAATTTCAATACTGCTTACAAAAATTCCTGCGCACGCCCCTGATATCAGTTATATAAGTAACTCTTTCAGAGAGAGTTATAACTTATTGGAATACTCCATCTATTACATCTTTAGATTTTTTGTTAAATACTCAACTTTTTCACGTAAGTTCGGAACCAATTTTTAGTAAGTCATTTTCACATTTATAACTCTAACGTCTCCTAAAATTACAACAACAACAAACTGAGGAAATTCCTATAAATACGGTATAAGGAGAATCGTATGCACGCAAATATATCCTTACCATGAGAGGACAGAGAATTTATTTTCGATAAACCCTCGACTAAAAAAAATATAAAAAGAAGTTGTGGGAACATGCAGTAATAACAACAAGATATTAAGAACACAAGTAAAAGATAGCAATCAATCAGTAAACACTAATAGTACGAATAAGGGAAAGAAAAAAGAAAAATGCACTACTAACTCTGAATCTTCTACCCTAACTCTCGACCTCAATTTTCTAGAATTAGGTTTTATATAGATCTATCACTAAAATATGTGGTAGAATAATAAATAATATATTTATCCTTAATCAAAAATTCCAAATTTGTGCTCTAATAATAAAACAAAAATTAATAGAGCTCCTAGGTTACTGAATCAAAACCAGAGTCTTAAACATAAAGAAAAAAATTATAAATACTTTATGTTTATAAAATTTTGACAAGTGCACAAGAGAGAGAGAGAACCAAAGCTGGGCATTGCTTTAAGGCAGCGGCTGCTGTATATCAGAGAAAAAGGGTAAAGCCTTTTTTGTTATAGTCAAAGATAAAGAGAGACAACAGTACAGTGTAGCAGAGAAGAAAATTGACCACCATTGAAGCTTAAACAAACTCTATAATTCCAACTGAAAAAAGAAGAAGTAACAAGTATACAGAAGCTTGAACTTAGATCCGACAGTTGCGGAGCCAAAATGGGAGAAATGGGAACTGCAAGTTCTTTCACGGCGTTACTTGAACTGCCGGCGAATCAAGCGGTGGAGCTTTTAGTACATTCATTGGAAACCGACAAAACCGGTGAACCTCACATACCTCACTATCGTTATCCTCCTCCTCCTCCGCCGCCCATTTTTCCTTCGGATGCAGCTTTGATTGACAGAGCTTTTAAGTTCTCCGTCTTCGCCGCCGCCGCCGGAATTTCGCCGGAGTCTAATTCAACTCTTTCCAATTCAGGTTCAAAATCACTTTTAGTCAAACAAGAACCTCTAGATTCCGAATTTAACCAGAATTCATCGCCAATTACCGTTTCCAATCCGACGGTTAATCAAAAAACAACTAAGAGAAAGGAACGTGAGAAAAAGGTAATTTCCACACCACCGTAGCCTCTATCCTATTTTATATGACACTTTATTCTTATTCTGTATCCAGTCAAATAAACTCACTTAGATTTTGGTATCAGAAGGAGTAATAAGTTAATTTTAAAACTTTTAATTTTACTCTTACTGAGATAATTTACAGCCACACAAATATTTATGGCTTTTTTTTATATTACAAGTTTCAAATCCATGCCCATGAAACACTAATTTTCACTAATTTGGTAGGAACAAAATTGCAACTTATTATACTTTACGTTTTTTCTACTATTTAATTTCTAAGAAATGTGAAATGAATTTTGGACCAAAGTAGTATATGAATTTCCAGTTTGTTCAGTAATTTCTGTGAAATTCAGGTAAAAGAAACCAGTAGCAAAAAGGGCAAAAAATCAACGAATAATACCTCAGAAGATGATGCGGAGAAGCTTCCATACGTTCACGTCCGAGCTCGTAGAGGCCAAGCGACAGACAGCCATAGCTTAGCAGAAAGAGTAAGACTCAAATATTAAGCGCAATTAGTGTTTTGCTAAATTTGGTGATTATATCTAATTAAGATTGTAATTTTCTTAATTATATGTAGGCAAGGAGAGAGAAGATTAATGCTAGGATGAAGCTACTTCAAGAGCTGGTCCCAGGATGTAATAAGGTTAGCTGTCACTTTTATTACGTTGTAATACTCTTCATTAGCAATAATATAAGTTGTACTGATTGTTAAGTAATCACGTTTCTGATAAAATATCTTCAATGTGATAATTGTGATTGCTTTCATCCATTAGTTTTTTTTTTTTAAAGCCTAAAATCAGTCATTTTCACCTTTTTCTTAACGAAAAAAGGTGGTGGGTTTGGCACCAAGAAAAGTGGCGAACAATTCTACTGTCCTTTCAGCTTTTTGCCGGTATTTCTACTTTTTGAGGTCAATCTTGTCATTTACTAGTCTTGGACCTCTTTTTCTTTACCTGTATTTTTCCCTTAAAGAAAATTGATAACTTGAAAATTTGTTGATGAAATTTTGTAAGTTTTTGGAAATTTTTCGAAAATAATAATTTAAAAAAAAAACACATTTTCAAAATTTTCAGAAGAATTTTTTTCCCCACTCACAAAACTGCAACATATTTTCAAGTGAAATGTATGTACAAACATAATTTCAAATTCCAAATATCATTTTTCAACTTAACTTCAAATAATGCTCTATTCAAAAATCATACTTTTATGTCCAAACGCATGCTAAAGATACTAGACCCATCAAAAAGCAAAAAGGAAATAGGAATATATGTTAAAAATGGACCTCATGTCTAACTTAAACTCAAAAGTTATGAGTTGGGAATTGTTAATATAAAGAGACTACTAATCCAACCATTTGTGACTTGACCAATGTGATACTCTAAGCTAGCGTTTGGACATAGATTTGATTGAAACTTGGAAAAAGAGTTTTTAAAGTTGTGCTGAAAAATAATTTTTAAAAGTTGAAGTTGTGTTTGGACATGCATTTTATTTTAAAAAAGTTGAAGTTTTGTGAGTGGAACAAAAAATTTCACCCAAAATTTGCCCTAAACAAGTTTTTGGGAACTTGAAAATTTTTGAAAATTTTCCTCCCAAACATCTGGAGTATTGTGTGACAAGAGTGTCACTGATACTTAAAGGTAAGTTCTATAAAGCGGTGGTTAGGCCGGCCTTGATGTATAGGGCTGAGTGTTGGCCCGTTAAGAAATCACATATCCAGAAGATGAAGGTAGCAGAAATGAGGATGTTGAGGTGGATGTGCGGGCATAGTAGGATGGATAAGATTAGGAATGATGATATTCGGGAGAAGGTGTGCGTGGCTCCCATTGATGACAAGATGCGGGAAGCAAGGCTCAAGTGGTCCGGGCACGTTCAGAGGAGAAGCCCAGATGCTCCGGTAAGGAGATGCGAACGGCTGGTGGTGGAGGGCTCGAGAAGAGGTAGAGGGCGCTTAAGAAGTATTGAGGGGAGGTGATTAGGCAGGATATGACGATGCTTCAGATTTTCGAGGACATGACACTTGATAGGAACATGTGGAGGTCGAGTATTAGTGTTGTAGGTTAGGAGGTAGTTGAGTCTTGTCTTATGCCATAACTTTGAGAGACTAGTTTGGTAGGGATACTATTTTGCTTTTGCTTTGTATCATTCTTCTTGATTTCATGTTGTTCTTATATATATATATGTAAGTAAGTATTTTCTTTCATATTATTTATGTGGTGGTATTAATATTGTCTTCTTTTGTCTTTTTGTCTTTTTGAGCCGAGGGTCTTTCGAAAATAGTCTCTCTACTCCTTCGGAGTAGGGTAAGGTCTGCGTACACACTACCCTCCTCAGGCCCCATTAGTGGGATTTCACTGGGTTATTGTTGTTGTTCTTGTTGTTTTCCTCCCAAACATGATCATATTTCATAAGCAAACAACAACAACAACAAACCTAGTGTAGTCCCACAAGTAGGGTTTGGGGGTAGAGTATACGTAGACCTTACCTTCCCTCCCCCCTCCCCCTCCCCCCAATAAGGCAAAGATGTTGTTTCCGATAGACCCTCGGCTCAGAAAGTATTTCATAAAGAAACGATGTTTTCAAAAAAAGAATTTGAAAAATGAAGCCAAAATTTATGGTCAAACGGGAACTAAATAATGTATGAGATGCTGATCCCTTGCAACTGTAGGTTACTTTGGAATAGTTAGTTCCATCTTAGACTTTTTACTTGTATTTTTGTAGTATTGGGAACAATCGTTTGAATTAGAAATCAGTTTGATTTTGAACAATCACTTCTAATTGCTTTAAGATATGAGAAAAATTACTGATATGAAGGAGCTTTCATCATTTTTGACTGTCAATGCAATGTGTAATCAAGACTATAGAATGTTACTATTCTACTTTAACTCGTTGGCTTGCTGTGGCTTAACATACCCTTGCTTTTGTGAGGCTAAGCAGAGATGTACAGTGATTAATTTAATAGCTAATTAACAAATATTTGTGCTTGCTTCAGATGCTTTTAAGTAGTTAATTCTCAATTTCAAACTTGCCCAAAAATATTACCATGTTGTAAAGTCTGGACTATGTTTACAGATCTCGGGTACTGCAATGGTGTTGGATGAGATCATCAACCATGTACAATCCCTACAGCGTCAAGTAGAGGTCAGACCTCGGAAACCTTTGCATCCGACTATATTGATTGCGGCATTTTAGGTGTAAATGCAAATATGATGCATTCAGACTTCTCACTCCTCTGTAGTAGTAGGATGTATCCCTCAAAATAGTCATTATTTCTGTACCTGGATTGGGGAACTAAGTTTTGGAAGAAATAATGGCCATTTTTCTCTTTATAAGAAATAGTCATTATTTTTTCTGAAACTTAGTTCCCCCTATGCAGGTACATGCCTTGACATAATTCCTGCAATGCTTTGCATAACTTATAAATAGAAGAAAATTTTTATTATTCTTCGGCTATGTTGCTCGGACTTTTCAAAATTGTTGCGGGGTGCGTGTCAGATCCTCTAAAAGTAGTGCATTTTGGAGGATCCGACACGGGTGCGGTTGCATTTTGGAGAGTCCGTGTAATGTAGGTCTTCGGCTACCGGAGGTAGGGTGTGGAGAATATGCAGCAGCTGCTGATTTCTCATTAGCTCCCCCGTTAGCGTACAATCATAAGGAAAGGAGAACGGATGAACTCAATACCTGAGGAGTTCATTAGTTGTTCCTCGTGTATTCTTTTTAAAGAAGGGAACAATATTGCCCTATTAAGGAAACACAATCATAGTCTGAATTTTGTCAGGGTGAACTTAAACATCTATAGGCTCATAAAAAGTTGTGGCCATGCTTAATATTCAAACGTGATATTGCGGTGAGGGAAACTTGCATGTTCCCTATACAGATGAGTGCATCTGCATCCCAACCGTGCCTCCATCTCACAACCTTTTCTTTTTGACAAATTTTGGAAATGTAGGCAACAATGGCGGCTCCATAAAGTTTATGGCCTAAAGCGAAATTTAATAAGAGACCTTATACTTTTTTATTAGTACATATACACACACTTGTGCAAAAAAAAATAGTGTTGCCATTTTTTCATACTTATTATTTATAGCATAACATGCTTAAATGATGAAACTTTTAACTTCACATAGTAGTATTATCATTTATATTAGTAAGAGGTAACTTAAATAAATTGGATGTAAGACATGTATTTTCAATATGTTACCTTTGATTTTGTTGTAAAAATAATATNTAAAGTTTATGGCCTAAAGCGAAATTTAATAAGAGACCTTATACTTTTTTATTAGTACATATACACACACTTGTGCAAAAAAAAATAGTGTTGCCATTTTTTCATACTTATTATTTATAGCATAACATGCTTAAATGATGAAACTTTTAACTTCACATAGTAGTATTATCATTTATATTAGTAAGAGGTAACTTAAATAAATTGGATGTAAGACATGTATTTTCAATATGTTACCTTTGATTTTGTTGTAAAAATATATTTACTAATATGAAGATCTAAGTAATTTAATTCAAAGTTCTAAAATATTTTTAGTGTTAAAGAGTACATAGTCCGTCTTTCTTTCTTTTGTCCAAGGTTTATTGTATTTTTCTTTTGCAAACTTTAATATTGTCTAACTTGAAATAAAATCATAAAATTCATTATTAAAAAATTTTGGGGACCTAAATTAAAGCATTACTAGTCTCCTAATCGAGCCACATGTTCATCCCCATGCATACTCAATCAAATTTCATACAATCTCAATTAAGATAAGACAACAATCAGTGAATGTGTTATTTAGTTACCAAATGTGAATGAAGCTGTTGAATAACACATTCATGGGCATTGGTCTATAAATAATTGTTGATCATTAATGAGGGCGGCTCAACGGAACTGGTGGCTTAAAACTAAAATATATTAAAAGACCCTGAAATTTCTTTCATAATATCCATATAATATTGAGACAAAAAGAGTGGTAAGAGAATAACGTATAATATGTGGGTTAGGCGCAAGTCATATGCTATTGAACTCCCTATAAAAAAAATATAGCATTAAATGAAAATGGTAAAAGGATTGAGCCTACTATCGATCGTGTTTTGAACCTTACGATAATTGTCTCTGGGATTTCTTAGTTAAAAAATGAGAAATTTTCATAAAGCACTATCTTTTAGTGGTAATTAGCTATTTATAGATATCATTTGCTATATTACGAATTGTAGGTACGTTTTTTGTTGTTATAAGATGTATTAGATGTATTTAAGCTACTGTATTCATGAATACAGTAGCAAAAATAGGCGTGAATCAGGGAAGTTCAGCTAATGAGTTGTTGTATTCGAGTGTATTCGACTGTATTCATGGCGTGAAACATGGGATTACACTGTTTTTAAACGGAAAGTGAATCAATTAACATAATAGACTCCTAATATAACTCAACATACTCAATTATAACACACAAATTTTGTATTTCCAGTTATAAAAAAGATTCTCAACCGAAAAATACCCCCAAAACATAGCAATCTTCAGAAAAATTATATAATACATCTGAATACATAAATCATATTAATTAAAAAAAATATATGAATATATTCATGGCATATAGCGAGACAGTGAATACAATGAAATACATATAATATAGCGGGATACATTGAAATACAATGAAAAAAAGATAGTGAATACATGAAATACAACGAGATACATTGAATTACAATGAAAAAAAAGGCAATGAATACAATGAAATACAGCGTGACACGTTGAAAATATATTGAAATATATTAACAGAAAATCAAGTTGCTCAGCCCCAAACTCCGTCGTCTTTGTTCAAGAACAAACTCTAATTTCCGACGAATCCGCCGTCGAGCAAAAACCCTCAACTCTTTCGCCTTTCTCTCTCTTTCTCTTCACCGAATATCCCTGTAACTCATTAGAACAAATGAAAAGAATGGAAAACCCTAGCACACAACTAGAAATCAGAGGCGTCGCACGATATAAACATAGAAATCATAGTTGAAAATAGCATCTCGCCACGAGGGGGGTCAGGGGTCACATACTTGGGGGTACGTGGATCTACTTTAGCAACCAGACATTCAAACTCCTCGGTCAATTCTTGTTCAATTTTTTCACCTTGCTTGATCTGCTGCTGCTGCTGCTGATAAAATACTTTAGACACAACATATTCCCCTTCCCTTTCATCTTCCCCGGTGTTTAGTGGTTATTAGAATTTGATGGGAGAGAGAAAAATAATACAATGCTTATTTTATGACTTAAAGGTAGGAGGTGACTATAAATAAATATTTGGCTATAAGAAATCAAAATGTAGCTATGGAATATAATTTTTTAAAATGATATTTATTTAAAATAAATAAGGTATAAACCTTTGCTATAGGAGGTAACTAATCCTTAAAAAACAGAGACACAAAAGAACTTGATTACTGATATGAGGATCTATCAAATGTGACAAAATGGAATAGCTAATTTAGAGAATTAGATTTTAAATTAGAAAGTAAAATAGTAAAAAATATGAAAAAAGAAAGAAAAATAGAATTGATTAGAAGATAACTATATTATTTAATTTAGTGAGAGAAAAGTGTTATCCTATTAACTCGTTCAATCCTACATCTACCAAATTTAAATAAATATTAGAATTTAAAATATTTTATTAATAATTGTATAAATATAAATTACATATATTATATAATGATATAGTAGTACTTTATATTTTTGGGGCCTTAAATATTTTGGGGGCCTAAAGCAAGAGCTTCACTTGCCTTACCCTAGAGCCACCCTTGGTAGGCAAAGATAGAAGTAAACCAGTGGGCATTCCACATACGAAATGAACTTTCATGACCTTCAAGAAAGTAATTTTTCTGTTATTGCTTGGTCATATTGATACTTTAATTGGTTGCCTCAGTCATTTGATGGAGTTCTGTTTGGTTGTAGTTCTTATCAATGAGACTTGCTGCGGTAAACCCAAGTGTTGATTTCAACCTTGACAATCTCTTTGCACCAGAAGTAAGTTTTGTCTTGCTTGTTAAGTTTTGTCTTGCTTGTTTATAACTTCACTTCATTATTCACTCAATTCAGCAAGTAAAGTGCCTAACTGGTACTTCGTTAGTTCTTCTATGCTGGCATCTGATTTTTTTACCTTCAATGTCAACTTATAAGACCAACTACGAAGGCACTTCACATTTAAATTGTTCGGAAGTTACTGAAATTTTTCTTGATCCCCTCTTTTTCTATAGGCTCTTTTGACCAGCCAAAAATAGCAGAGCAGGGTTAATATTGGACCATCATTATCTGCCTTTCTATGCACATTTACCCGTTTAACTCTTCTTATGACACGTTGTCAGTTGAAAAGTTGCCAGTCACCGTACTACAATGTTGCTAGCCTCTGGAGTTACCTTTGTCAGTCTCAAAGTTGGTCCTCTATTCATATACCTGAGAAGAGGAGAATTTTCCATGTGATACTTTTTCTGCAAGTTGCAACTTCTCACATCATGACTTCCACAATGCTTTAAATGAAAATGTTCTGTACCTTATCATGTTTTACTGCAATGTATTTATTTAATTAATTATGCCTACTTGTATGCATCAACTTCCAAGAGGATTCCAACCAAGAGGTTGTGAGTTCGAGTTTCCCCAAGAGCAAGGTGGGAAGTTCTTGGAGGGAAGGATGCCGGGGATCTATTTGGAAACAGCCTCTCTACCCCACGGTAGGGGTAAGGTATGCGTACACACTACCCTCCCCAGACCTCACTAAGTGGGATTATACTGTGTTGTTGTTATTGTTGTTGTTGTATGCATCAATTAAAACAGTCAAAGATTGGATTATCCAAAAGATTTCGAGCCGGCATCTTCATGCTTTATGACTAGCTTTAGGATGATTGATTAATTACTTATAATGTGTAAAGCATTTTATAAAATAATCTCGGTTTGTTCAAAACTTGTGATCATTCCCTTAAGAGTCTTGATTTACTTTTGGAAAATTAGCGGAGTGGTTCCCATGTGGAGAGCAACTTACCAGACATGATTGTGCCGCCTATCTGGGCCGACGGACAAACCAGCGGGAACAGAAACCAGTATCAACATCTGTGGCATCTTGAAGGATTCCATCAGCCTGTCTGGGGAAGAGTAGAAGACAACTCTAGCTTTATTACTCCAGAGAACTCACTTTTGACTTATGATTCCTCAGCAAATTCAGGTAAATCCCAACTCAATGGCCTGTGTGTTGCTGATTACTCTATGTTCATTTCCTCTTGGCACCAACTGAGACTGGAACAGATAGAATTCTGTAAAGAAAAACCAATATGGAATGCAGCATGAGTCAAACGAGATTCATAGATAATTGTGATATTTCTGACTTTTGCAGCATCTTTACACCCAAATCAGCTGAAAATGGAGCTATGAAAGCAGAGGCAAGAATTTAGTTGCGGTTAGCTGTGTATATATCGGACATAATAGTTGATAGCAGCAGGCAGCAGAAAAGAGAGTTGCCAAGAGTTAAAAGACTCTGAGTTTCTACTTCCGCTAATCAAGAACAAGGATAAAATCCAGATTGATCTCTGCTAGAGAGGGAGAAAATTAGCTGTATCCCTTATTTGCATTTATATAACATATAGTATATTTATATGCATACGGAAATATTTGTCTATACTAACGTAGGGTCATTCAATCTGATACTTGGTGCGCGAGATGATTGATTGATTCATAGTTGTAAAACAAGAATGGACTAGTGGTGACTACACTAATATGCAGATAAGCTTTTGTGTTATTTGTTCTTGTTGATGTGCCTTGTCTTGTAATCGTAGTGTGATAAATAGGACCTATTCCAAAAAACTATGATGGTACACAATAATCAATATTTAAGAACCTAAACAGAAGTAACGTAGAAGAGAAAGGATGAAATTAATGAATATTTTTTCTGACAATTAAGAATGATAGATAAGCCTTTTGAGTGTCCGAGATATTCTCGGATCCAGTAGAAAAGTGTACGCAAGAATTTCAGTGAAAAAGGTTATTTTTGTATGCTTGTGATGAAATCAGATTCTCTCTATAAAGTCAAAGTATATTTTATAAGTGAATATCTCATGTCCCATATCATTGTGTCTTTAATTATTTATAGAGAACATGTTCCTAAAAACACTAATAGTACAAGTGCAGAGAATATTCACTAGAATATTCTCTAGAATATTCTCTTTAATGTCCAATCTTGAAACTAGCATTATAACTCTGCCAAGGGTATTTGTTGATACCCAGTTTTTCCTTATAATATTTTTGAAATGCATATATATCTTTAAAACTATGCATTAGCATCAACGGGTATTTTTCCGTAATTTTTACACCCTTAAATTAATTTATTTCAATATTTTCTTCATATAAATAATTGTAAAATTGCATTATAAATGAATTTAGAACATGTCTTGATTTAATATTACTATTATAGGTCCTATTGGGTCCAAATTATTTCATAAATAGCCAAATTGACACCTTTTGGCTATAATTGCAATAACTTTGCAATTATAGCCCATGCGTACATTTCTGGTATTATTTTACGAGAAACTAGTCCTCCGTATTTTTGAATACTAAATAACTATTTTTAAAACATTTCTATGCATGAGATTCATTTTTTATAATTAGTAATTATCTTACAAATTATTTTCTTTAATCAATTGTTTGGGGTATTTAATAAATAGCCTCTTTTTATTTCAATTTTGTCCTAAAATCAATACCCCTTATAAACCATCCCAAAAGATCCCAGGCCCAATATCCACTTGCCCGACCCAAACCCCGTGGCCAATCCTGGCGTTTATCACTTTTGATCAACTGTCAAGATATTTCCTACCATAATTAAACTTACCTACACCCCCCAAACCCTAGTCATTTTCCACTCTTTTCCCGCCGTCACATGTTCCCTTGTCTCTCAAATGCTCTCTAAATCTAACACTAATTTACCCTCGTCGTCACTCACCTACTGCCATCCTATGGTGGTTCTTCACCACCTCAGGCCTCTAATGGCCTCCTCTATGCTATGGTATCTCTATTTTTTGGATCCTTGAGGAGATTCTCAAGGGACATAGGCGGTCTGTTTACACCTTGGGGTTTTCTTGCCTATTTCAGGCCATTTGACTCGACCTTGAGTAAGATCTTTCTCATTTTTATCCGTGGACTCCTAAGTCTATGTTCTCATCTCTGTTTCACTTCTAAAAAACCTAATTTTATCTTTGATTTCTCATATCTGAGACAGATTGAATATACTTCACATGTTTTCTGGAAAGTTTCCTGGTTTTTCAAGTGATTTTCCGTTCTTCCTAAAACTAGGGTTTACTAAAACTAGTCTTCTCAAAGGTTTCCTAATTTTCGAATGTTAATCATCTGTTCTTAAGTATTATTGATTGATTTCTGCTAAAATTGTCTAGACCCTAATCGATTTATGCTGAAATCCTAATTTTCTTATATTTTGCTTCGATTCTGAGTCTTTCCGTGTTACTTGTTACATCGTTTTGTCTATGCTTTGACTTTCATGATTTTCCCTTAGTCTAATTCAATGTCTTGTGATTTTTGCCCTAGTCCATCTCTATTAGGGTTTATGATTCGATTTCTCGGCTAATTTCTGAAATTCTATTTAGCCTAGCTATCTATTTGTGGAAACTGATATTTTTCCCCGTAAATCAGTACTACTTTGAATTTTGATCTACTAATTTTGCTCTGTCAAAACTTATGTGTTGATTCTTGATTATTTCCCTTGTTTACAACCTTAATTAGTCTTCTTACCTTATGTGTAATTATTAATTGGTGCTGCTAGCCTGATTTTATGCTCTGATTTTCAGAACCAACTTATAATTGATTTCGGAGTTAGTTATTGCCTTATTTAACCTAGCCGTTAAATACTGATTGATTCCATATACAATTTTCCTTAAATTAAGTAATACTAGTCTGATTTTGTGGCTAATTTGTTCATGACTGACTTCACTTGATCGATTGTCTAATTATTTCTTACCTTATTAACTTGCTCTGATTTACTAAAGGAGTCCGTATGAGACTTCCTTAAATTAAGTATCATTTATGAGATTTTGGCCCCTTAATTGAGTCATGACTGATTGTTAATTGATTTCCATACCTTATGTGCATATGATTGGCTCATTACCTTATGTGTCCTACTCTATTGCATACTATAAACCCCCCCTCATTGTTCTGGTTCTCGGACGGACATCAGTTCACGATATACACACACACTCAAACTATTCTCCTTCTTGTTACTTGTGTTACTTGTGCTATTGTGGGTCTAGCTAAGGCGAAACAGTGAGGCTACTTGCTCTATATTCTGCACTCTTTTCCCTCAACTGTTATGTCTCTAGTTATATTTGACACCCAAACTTTATGTGTTTCATCCATGCATTAGTTCATTGGTTGTGAATTTGACCTACTCTCTTGTTCGCTTCTTTGTTCAAGCATGCCTAAAATTCTGTCATGCTCTATGTGTAGCTAATATGTTTACACTTCACATGTTTATCTAATGTTTAAACAACCTGTCTGAAGTTATGCCTAGTTGTGTGATCATGCGTATGGTTAATCCTGCTTGTGTGTCTATCCTCTACATCTTTGCTCCATATTTAGTTGCCTGCTATCCTGGTTAATTTGTTAAGGTTATAAGTGTTTTATGTCTATTACTGCCTATTTGTCTCCATTCATGCACCCTCGATCATTGATGACTCCTCCACTTTAGCCCTTGTTGACTCTTCAACCATGGCCTTCGTTGTTTCTTAGATAACTTCGACATGTGGTGACCTGGGAATATTTCACTAATGCCACTTGGGTCGTGGTTATTATGGCGAACATGCGACATGGCCTTTGGTGAGCCGCACATTTCAAGTGCTTCAAATTTTCCGGGTGATTTGATGGAGTTATATTGTCCATGGGTTAGGATGAGGTCATGATGTCATGTGTCATTATGATGCATATTCCTGATGCATCACTTTGTTCCGCGTGTGACCTTTGCTTAGACCTGCCGCTTTGGTTCCGGCGCCAATTATGATGAATCATTTTCAGTTTCGGTGCCATGGCTTTTATAAATCGAGGTCCTTGAACCCGATTTTGGAGTTTTTGAATTCTCTAACGTTTCGAAGAACCATACCTTTCTCTTGCTCTCTTCTTCTCCGAATTTCTTCTCTATTTTAGTGACCTATATTTCTCTTCATTCCCTCCTGTTCTTTACTCTCCTTCACTACGTTGAATCATGTCTAAAGTACCTTCTGATGCTGGTGAGGGGAGTCATGTTGCTCCCTTGGCAATGGTGTTCCCCCTCCCCCCATGGGGAGAGAGCTTCCGCCATTATTGAGGATGAAACCTTCACATCAGTGGAGGAAATAATCCTGCATAATCTCGATTCTAGGTCTGATCTTACCAAAGTACCAGATGACGTGCTTGGAGTTTTTAAATCAACGATGACGCCTAAGGAATGCGGAACTTAAGACCAAATTCGTCCTTCCCAACCATGTTGAGCTGATCCTGGCTGAGGGGCCATAGTACAGGTCCATCGTTCAGAGCATTGTTCGCTTTATGCCTATCACTTCCTCAACGGCTATGCATTCTCCCTCCTCCCGTTAATGGAGGAGTTTTGTCGTCACTACAGCGTCTGCCCAGCTCAACTTGCACCGCATGTCTACAAGGTGATAAAGATGATGACCAAATTCGCTGAGCTGGCTGAGGCTGAGCTGATGCTACAACACTTGATACACCTATTCTCCCATGGCATTTATAGGGGGACGATGTTGAACCTTCACCACCGAGGAGGCAAATGTTTGGTGGTGAAGATGGACGACAAAGCCAATCGTCAGTTCTGGCTTAACTTCTTCATTGTTAGGACCGAGGACGTCATGGGCAACGTTAACAGCTTTCCTGAATCTTGGAACAACACTCGTGAGTACACTGCCTTTTTCTGCTTTCATTTTTGGTTCCGAATTTTGATAGCCAACGGCCAGCCACCTTATCTAGTCTCTCATATCTCTGACTGGGTTAAGTGACTCCTCCCACAGGGTCGAGTGATTCCTCCCACACATCGTAGGGATCCGTGACTGGCCAAGTTTTTCAAGAAATTCAAGCCTGCTCTCCTTTCAACTGGTAATTTCTTTTCTCTAGTCATAGCCTCTCAATTTCCTATTGTGTATGGACTCATTTTGCTGACTTAATGTGTCTTTTTCTCAGGCAGGGGTTCTCAAAGGAGCCGGGTGTCAGTGCCCTCTATCCAAAAGGTGGCTGCTGCATCATCGGCTTCAGCTCCTATTGCAACTACTACATCGTCTGTATCGGTCTCAACCTCACCTGGCATATTTTGGAAGCCCGTCTCTTTTCTATCTGGAACTCCTGCTCCTAAAATCTTCTCGTTAGTTGATGAGGACAACGTCTCTCCTGATGATGGTGGTCTAATGCCTCATAAGAGGAGAGTCGTAGATACGAGGGGAGAAAGGTCGGTGGCCTTTGATGTGGGAGGTTATGCTTTGTCCTTCGAGAGGAAATGAGCATGCGTCCTGTGGGGGTCATGTCGAGGGCATGGTGCATAATGACAGCCCTGCACTTCTGAGATGCGAGAAAGCCTCATCTTTTGGGGTCTCGGCAGATGTGCCTTCTTCGACTATTGATAAAAGGAAGGTTATTGTTGAGGAGGACATTGGATCTGCCTCCGACATGGATATAGACGAGTTGAGGATGGTCAATGAGGGGCTTACTCAACTCGAAGTGAGGTTGGAAGGGGTTTAAAGGACTAGTACGATCCCA